GTCCCCCATGTCCCCATGTCCCCGTGTCCCCATGTCCCCGTGTCCCTAGTGTCCCCGATGTCCCCATGTCCCCATGTCCCCAATGTCCCCCAATGTCCCCCATGTCCCCATGTCCCCCATGTCCCCGATGTCCCCATGTCCCCCATGTCCCCCATGTCCCCGTGTCCCCATGTCGCGGTGGCTGTCCCCAGAACGAGTCCGAGTTCCGGGACAAGCTGTCCCCCATCCCGCTGTCCCTGAGCCTGGCCCTGGACCCGGCCGCGTCCCCTCCCCCGCCGGGGCTGTCCCCGCTGCTGTCCCCGGCCACGCGCACGCGCCTGGAGGCCAAGGTACGCGTCACCTGTCACCTGTCACCTGTCACCTGTGTCACCTATGTGTCACCCTGTCACCTGTGTCACCTATGTGTCACCCTGTCACCTGTCACCCTGTCACCTCCGTGTCACCCTGTCACCTGTGTCACCCTGTCACCGTGTCACCTGTGTTACCCTGTGTCATCTCTGTGTCATCTCTGTGTCACCTGTGTCACCCTTGTCACCTCTGTGTCACCTCTGTGTCACCTTGTGTCATCCTGTGTCACTCTCTCACCTGTGTCACCCTGTGTCACCTCTGTGTCACCTGTGTCACTCTGTCACCTGTGTCACCCTGTGTCACCTATGTCATCTGTGTCACCCTGTCACCCGTGTCATCTGTGTCACCTCTGTGTCACCTCTGTGTCACCCTGTCACCCTGGCACCGTGTCACCTGTGTCACCTCTGTGTCACCTTTGTCACCTGTGTCACCCTGTGTCACCCTGTCACCTGTGTCACCCTGTCACCTCTCTGTCACCTCTGTGTCACCCTGTCACCTGTGTCACCGCGTGTCCCCGCGCTGTCCCCGCTGATGTCCCCGTGTCCCCAGGCCCACATCCAGCTGGACTGCGAGGACAACGTCTGTGTGCCCGACCTGCAGCTCGAGGCCAGCGCGTAAGGGGGACACTGGGGACATGGGGACAGGAGGGGACACTGGGGACACCGGGGACATGGGGACAGGAGGGGACACCGGGAACACTGGGGGACATGGGGACAGGAGGGGACACCGGGAACACTGGGGGACATGTGGGGTTCCTCTGGGGGTGTCCCCAGTCTGGGGGTCCCGGGGGGGTGTCCCCAAGGTGGGTGAGGGTCCCTGGGGGTGTCCCCACGGTGAGGAGGGGGTCCCGGGGAGTGTCCCCAGTCTGGGGAGGGGGTCCCGGGGGGTGTCCCCAGTCTGGGGGTCCCGGGGGGTGTCCCCAGTCTGGGGAGGGGGTCCCGGGGGGTGTCCCCAGTCTGGGGGTCCCGGGGGTCCGGGCTGTGACTGTCCCCTCCCCCGCAGCAAGAACGCCAACAACTCCCAGAGCGCCCTGGTGCCGGTGGCGCTGGCCGTGAGGGCGGCCACCAGGGTGTCCGTGCTGGGGTGAGTGACAGGGGACATGGGGACACACAGGGCACACGGGGACACTGGGGACATGGGGACACGGGGGGCCACCAGGGTGTCCGTGCTGGGGTGAGTGACAGGGGACATGGGGACACACAGGGCACACGGGGACACTGGGGACATGGGGACACGGGGGGCCACCAGGGTGTCCGTGCTGGGGTGAGTGACAGGGGACATGGGGACACACAGGGCACACGGGGACACTGGGGACATGGGGACACGGGGGGCCACCAGGGTGTCCGTGCTGGGGTGAGTGACAGGGGACATGGGGACACACAGGGCACACGGGGACACTGGGGACATGGGGACACGGGGGGCCACCAGGGTGTCCGTGCTGGGGTGAGTGACACCGGGGACACGGGGACAATGGGGACACACAGGGGACAATGGGGACACGGGGGGACACCAGGGTGTCTGTGCTGGGGTGAATGACAGCCAGGGACACGGAGACAATGGGGACACTGGGGACACTGGGGACAGCCAGGGTGTCCATGCTGGGGTGAGTGACAGGGGACAGGGGGACACACAGGGGACATGGGGACACTGGGGACAGGGGGACACACAGGGGACACAGGGGACAGCCAGGGGACACGGGGGGCCACCAGGGTGTCCGTGCTGGGGTGAGTGACAGCAGGGACATGGGGACACACAGGGGACATGGGGACAGCCAGGGCACAGCCAGGGACACACAGGGACATGGAGGGGACGCAGAGGGGCCAGGAGGGGACCTGAGGCCTGCCAGAGCCTCTGAGTGACAGCCAGGGGACACGGCGGTGACACGGCGGTGACACGGCGGTGACGCGGCGCTGACCCCCGGCTGTCCCCTCAGGGTGTCCCGGCCCGACGTTGTCACCATCCCCGAGGGGGGGTGGGGACCCGACCCCCCCCAGCGGCTGCAGGACCTGGGGCCACCCGTGGAGCACGTCTACGAGGTGGGGACAGCGGGGACACCTGTCCCCAACCGGGGTCACAGTGTCCCCAGACCCTGGGCCCCAACCGGGGTCCCATGTCCCCAGCCTGGGGTCACACTGTCCCCAACCGGGGATCCCAATGTCCCCAACCCTGGGCCCCAACCGGGGTCCCAATGTCCCCACCCCGGGGGTCACAATGTCCCCAACCAGGGTCCCAATGTCCCCAACCCTGGGGGTCCCAATGTCCCCAAACCCTGGGGGTCACAATGTCCCCACCTTGGGGGTCCCAATGTCCTCAGCCGGGGGTCACAATGTCCCCAAACTGGGGGGGGTCACAATGTCCCCAACCCGGGGTCACAATGTCCCCAGCCCTGGAGGTCACAATGTCCCCAAACCGGGGGTCACAATGTCCCCAACCCGGGGCCACAATGTCCCCAACCCTGGGGGTCACAGTGTCCCCAACTGGGAGGGTCACAATGTCCCAAACCGGGGGGGTCACAATGTCCCCACCTCGGGGGTCCCAATGTCCCCAACCCTGGGGTCTGTGTCCCCACCCCGGGCTCCCATGTCCCCCCCGTGGGTCCCCGTGTCCCCAATTCGGGGCTGTCCCCCCCCTCCCCCCCGAGCCCTGGGGGTCCCCTCGTCCTGACCCCGTGTCCCCCGCCCCGGGGGGCTGTCCCCCCGTGTCCCCAGGTGGTGAACGAGGGTCCCAGCGCCATCAGCCAGGGCACGCTGGAGCTCAGCTGTCCCCTGGGCCACCGCGGCCACCCCCTGCTCTACGTCACCGGCCACGCGGGGCTGCCCAACTGCTCGGCCAGCCACGGCACGGACCCGCTGCGCCTGGTAGGGGACACGGGGGGACACTGGGGGGCACTGGGGACACTGGGGACATTGGGGGGGCACTGGGGACACGGGGACACGGGGGGACACTGGGGGGGCATTGGGGACACTGGGGACACTGGGGATAAGGGGGACATTGGGGATAATG